GCCCTGGGCTCCGTCTAACACCTGGAGACCAAGCATCAACTCTACAAAACTCCCGCGGGGGCAGGTCCACCGAGCTCCCGGTTCGACTCCCTCCAACCGACCACCGTCAGGTGTCACCGGGCAGCACGTGCACTCCTCCGGAAGTGACTTTCAGAATAAAAGCTTGATGCGATCGCTTTGAAAAGAAGGTGTGTCCGGAAATACTTTTATTCTCAGCTTTTTCGTTTTACGTTTTTATTTTCTTGATTCACAGATTAAAAACAAAATCCCTCCAATAATCTGGAATCTCAAATCTTTCTGGGGTTATTTATAATTTATTCTGATTCTGTCTTCAGAATCTGTTTTGTGTTTTGTTTGTTTGTTTATGTTAGCATATTTTTATATTTTAGACTAAAATCATGGTTTCCAATTTTACTGTAGAATTCTTGATGCAGAGATTAGTCTGAATTCATTACTTGCACAGACCTGATAAATAATCCAGATCTGAACGAGAAGAGGGAACATGAATAAACATCATTTTAAAATCATTTTAAAAAGTTTGTAAACAATTAATGCAATTGTAAATGTAATTTATCCTTTTGGTATGAAGCCAATTTTAGTAACCTTTCAGTATCATTATCATATTTTTCTGATAATTTATCCACGTCAATGCAGATATTTTTTAATTTTGCCGAAGTCCATATTAAAAGTATTGATATCTTTTGTTGTTGTTGTTATTGTTGTTGTTGTTGTTGTTGTTTCTCTTGTGAGATGTGCCAGCTCTCTCCTCTCAGCTCTGAGGGTTTACAACCAACACCAGCAGCTGAAAAGCCACATTTTGTGGAAAATCCCAGCCTGTTTCTGGGAGCAGTGCTTGTTTTGTTCTGCACCTCTGACCACATCAGATTATTTGTATCCACCTTGGCAGCCGCCTCCACAATTTGGATTTAATCTGCTGGAACGCTTTTTGAAATGAAGGCAGGCAAATTTACACCATTTTGTTTTTCAATCGTTATTTTTTTCCTCAGGGTGGTTTACAGGGTTGGATGATCTGCTGCCCTGCAGACAAGTTGGAGACACTCCCCTGTGATAGAAAACTGTTGCACAAATAAAAAAATGTTCAATATCCACAAAGGACTGCGCATCTCTGAAGATCGCACAAGCCCAAAAGTCAGAAGAGATTTTTGATGTTTTGTCAGAAACCACCTTTAAACTTCATCATTTCTGGATGAGACCTCTTTGCCTAAGATCTCTGGAAGCCCCTCCAAAAAAATAAAAATATAAAAACATGTAAAACACAGACTGTGACATTGTACAGAATTTGTTCAATTTGAAATTACTCCAATTCAGTTTATTTATATAGGTCACAACAAATGACGTCTCAGAGCACTGTACACAAAACAATAAATCTAATGAAGCCAACAGATTGTGTTGAATCACTTCATCACAGCCTCCCATCCTGAGCAGCACATTGGTGACAGTGGAGAGGAAAAACTCCCTTTAACAGAAAGAAATCTCCAGCAGAACCAGAACCAGGCTCAGGACACTCGGCCATCTGCCTCAACTGGCTGACTTTAAACATTTATTGTCCAATTTTTTATACTGTCTACATGTTTCTCATGTTGGACACAATAGTTACTGACACAAAACCTTTAATAATGATCACATTTAGATCAGTAAAACTGAACCCTTCAGGCTTTTCTCATAAACATCTCTATGAGTTCCCCAGTTCACACCATTAGGTGTGAGTAACATCCACATGAGCAACATATGAGACTATTTATTTTATGATCAATTAGCTGGGATAAATTATCCCCCAAACTTTGGTTTTCCACTTTGAATCAATTTTCTCTCAGTTAATAATCTTCTCAGTTAAAATTATTTTAAAAAACACCCGTTTTTTTTTTTTTTTTTTTTTTTTTTTTTTTGTGTCTGTTGTTTCTTAGGGCACAAAGTAAGAGTCAGCATGCATCAAACAGGCTGCTGTGTCATGTTTCTGAAAACAATCTGTATTCTTAATCCACACAAAAGCACAAGTTTATAAAAAATCCCCAATTTAGATTCTTTTAACGACTTCACTTTACATGTGGATGAAAAACGCAGCAGAAAATCCAAAAATTTAAAGGTATTTGAAGGAAACAAGGCCTAAAATGTCTTGAATTCCTTCAAGGTTTTTCAAGATTCCATTTTAAAAACCATGTTCAGTTTTCTGAGCTCCATGTTTTAAAAGTCATTGACACAAAATACCAGAAAACCACAAAAAAGCTTCTTTGTGGTTTCTAGTATTTAATGTAATATAATGCTTATAAATAAATTAAAATGCTCAGTTGTGTAATGAGCCTCTGTGTGTGTATGGACTGTATCTAAGCTTGACAGAAGTGATGAGACTGCAGTGTTAGAGAACTGCAGGCAATGAAGAACAGAACTATGTGTTGGACTGAAGCTTCAAACACATGACCCGTCTTGATGGTCACCAGATGGCAGTAATGTGTAATAATGATGATAAAAGAAAAGTTTGTTTTACCTTAAAATTTAGTGCTTTTAAGGTAAAATAATGTCTACCTGAGTGTCATTAAACACAAGACTGAAAGTAAAGTTTCACTCACACAAAGGATTAGAAAAAAAATACAAAAAGACATCACCTTATTAATGTGGAGAAGTTAGTGTGTCTGAAAGGTCCTCAGAGCTGTTGTGTGTTTGTGTGTGTGGGTTGTGGGGTGGGGTGGGGTGGGAAGGGAAGGGAAGAAGGAAGGGAAGGGAAGAAGGAAGGGAAGGGAAGGGAAGAAGGAAGGGAAGGGAAGGGAAGAAGGAAGGGAAGGGAAGAAGGAAGGGAAGGGAAGAAGGAAGGGAAGGGAAGGGAAGAAGGAAGGGAAGGGAAGGGAAGAAGGAAGGGAAGGGAAGAAGGAAGGGAAGGGAAGAAGGAAGGGAAGGGAAGGGAA